GCGTGAAAATATCTTTTGTGATGTAACTCTTTCAAAAGTACATAAAAATGGTTGCCATCAGGGGTGTACATGTAGATTTATTAAATACGCCTTGTGCGCCACCTAGGAACCAAATCTAGAACCCGACACTCGAAATTTTTGCTCTGTTACAATCGTACCCATTACAATTGACCCCACTCTCCCCTACCGTATCACACATAAAATTTATTGAAATAGAATTCTTTCTTTTCTACGTCGTTTACTTAACTTAGATGCATTATTTAAGTATTTTATTGTAACCGTGATATTTTGCCTTGTGTACCTGGCAACTTCGATGCATAATTTGCTTATGTTCAACATGGCTTCGTGCCTGTCTTTTGTGGTTAAGTAAGAAAGAATTGAAATTTTGTGAAAGAATATAGAATGCGCCATTTAGGGGAATTGATACTTGACGGATTCGGCTTACCCGAAATAGAATGGAAAAACAGTTGCTAACGTGCGCAAATGCCACGTTTCAACAACCAATCAGGATCTAGATGCTCACACTACGTCACTAGCTGGTATCCAATTGAAAAGCATAAACTTATAATGAAATTAAATTTAAAGTAGTCAATAAGTTTTCCCTTTTCTGTACTAAAATGTTGTTTATCTACGCATTATAAGCAGATTCTAATGTTATAAAAAATTAATATCATCAAAAATATATTTTTTATTAAAGAACCAATTTTTCATTACAATGCAATTTTAAAGTATACATTACAAAAAACTCCGAATATCCACATGACCTAATTATTGAATTTTCACGTATAAAAAGCAATTTTCATGATTTGAAAAACCGCACCATTATATATGCTAAATAAATAATGCGTACAAAAACAATTAATCAAAGTACAAATTCCCTAAGAAACACTTTTTCTGAACATCATACGCTTAAATTTGATGAATTCAAAATCTAAATCTTTAAATAATGAGAAGTAGTAGAGAATTAAAATAGATGGGCCTCAATAATTAAGAAAGCAATCTACATTCTGGGTCTTTACTGCTGTGTTTACTGCATTTTTCTCTGATATGTGTTAATAACAGTCCTTAATATATAGTGTTAGAATTCTTGCAAAAATGAAATAAACAAAATAGGTATATTGCAGGTCTTAAATTAATATTTAAGTGAAAAACGGTAACTGTGGCGAACCTTTATTGAAGTCGAGAAAAGAAAAGAAAGAAATTAAAACTAAAAACCAGTTAGCTTTTCTTGTAAGACTAGAATGTTTTCACTTTTCGCAGGGAACAGTCTTTCTGTTAAATGAATTGTTTTTCGATTACTTTAATTCTTCTTTGCTCTTTTTGATCCCAAAAGTGATAGGCAGGGTTTTGACGTAACAGTTCTTTCCCTCTTAAATATTAAATTGAACAATGAAGATCAAATCTCATAGAACACGTCATAGGTGCCTAAAGAAAGATTCCTAAAATCTTTTCAGATTGCCCATAATTCATAATCAAGAATCAGTCAATTAATTAATCGATTAATCAATTTTTTTAGATATGCCTATTAAACAGAACTATGTAAACTGCATTTCGCAAGTAGATATGAGATATCACTATACCCGAAGTTATTGGTAATAAAATGTTATTCAATCATTTTTTCTCTCTCGATTTCTAAACAAGGTACGAGGAAATATTTTCTATGTTGGAAAAAATTATCTATTTTTTTTTCTTCAGATATGATCGCTCACCGATGCAGTTTGGAGTATTCATGAAGATAATACACAGCTGCGTTGATGCTCTTGACAAACAATATTAATCACAAAATAGTAAATGAAGAAGAATTTCTACATTACTTTCTATTTTCTACATTTTGCTGTTTCTATTAAATCGTCTTTTTGTCTGTGAGGATGAATTTTCGCAAACGAAATTTCGCCCACTTTGCGACTAGCCAGAGAACTTAGATCTCAATTGGAGCTCTGTATCAGCTTACAATGCAAGTTACAATCATATCATGACCACCACAAACAGAATTTATTGCCATCTTATCGTTAAATAGAATTTATCATCATTCAAAATTCCGAATACTTTCCGACTAGTTAGAGGGCTCAAAATTTAACTTGTTCTTGCTGCCCGTACACGTAACAATTGTTTCTTAAATTGTATAAGCAAAGTTTATTGCCTTTCATTGCCAGTCGAAATTTCAACCTTTTTTCTGATATAAAGTAAGACACAAAAATTAAAAGAAGAAAATAATGAAATAAAACTTTAGGAATAGACTAAAAAGGAAAACAGTGCATTTTTGTCCGACCAAATTTGTCCGAATAAATTTTTATCTCTATCGAAATTACTTTCTCTGAAATTATAAGTCCTATTTTTTTCATTTTATGACGGAAAAAAAATTTTAAGTCTATTTAAAAAAAAAAAAAAACATTCCTTTTATTATTTTATTTTTTTATTATTTTATTTTTATTTCATTATTAGTTTTATATCTATCCACTTAATTATTGCTTGTTATTAATTTATAAAATCAAACTGTACAGTCAAAATTTATCTTGACTAATTTTTGCTCTAATATTTAAATTTGAATCCACAAATGTAAATCATAGTAATTTACTCCATTTATTGAAAAATAAAATATTCCCCTTTTTCTATGGTAATAAAAGTAAAATCATTCAATTTAAATTATCAATTTTGTTTGAAAGTTATGTTATGAAACATCTATCTAAATGCAGAACAATTGAATATGTAGCAAATAAGTAGCTTTATTAAATTGTTTTATTGAATTTTTTGTTGTTTTGTATGTAGTTTTATTAAATTATTTGTTGTTTTGTATGTTGTTTTATTAAATTGTTTGTTGTTTTGTATGTAGTTTTACTAAATTGTTTGTTGTTTTGTATGTTGTTTTATTAAATTGTTTGTTATTTTGTATGTAGTTGTATTAAATTGTTTTATTAAATTATTTGTTTTGTATGTAGTTTTATTAAATTGTTCGCCACTACAAATAAATACTATATTATAATAGCATTAAATAATATAATATTTTAATCGAGAGCTACAAAGAAAACACAAATTAAATGTTTTCTGAGCAGAGTCACAAAGAGGCTTTACTTGATGCTATATTGAATTCAGATAAAATCAATAATAAATGAAATAATGATAAAATGTTATTGTGAAAGCTGCTTTGTACCACGCACAAAACCTCGATTACGTCGTAACTAAGGCGACGGGACTTAATCTTAAAGTAAACTGTGCCTTGATGTTTCGGTACACATTCATTTGGAGCATCAAACGAGAGATTTGAAAGAGATTTTGAAAGAAAGAAAGATATTAAATAAACCTTTTAGTTGAAGTAAAAGTGATCCATTATTTAACAAACCTACGCTTTGTTGAGAGGCTGAAATAAAATGCTAGTGTATTTAATACAGATTGAAATTTATACATTAATCGGTCAAGGTCTATTATAGATGCAATCAGTTATCTTAATGCTTATTTGTTACAAAAAAAAGTAAATAAAATACATTGTAATACTAATAATCGATATTTTAATTTATGTATCTTACGCGACTTCAAAACAGCGAGTATTATTCTCTAAGTTGGCGACACTTGGCCGAAGCATAGTTTTATATGTTGGATCTATTCGTATGGTTTTGCGATGCAGTTTCGCCGAAGAAAATTAAAAAAAACCATGGAGGTCACCGGTGACCCCCAAGATTATTAGAAACACATAATTCGAGTAAATTTTTAATTTTTTTATGCTATTATCGTTACTAAAATGGTTTGAAGAAATTAATGCAATATAGGACACACACAAATAGTT